CCCCCCGCGTTGGGCAAGGGTGTGCCCCCTCTCTGTCCCCCCGCGTTGGGCAAGGGTGTGCCCCCTCTCTGTCCCCCCACTCATCCCCAGCCCCAGTGTTCCCAGTGTCTCTGGGACGGAGTGGGGCCCCTGAGCTGGCAGCAGCCCCTTCCCCCGGCTTGTCCCCCTTCTTCCTCTCTAGCTAGTTTTCTGAGCCCAAATTAATTACCTGAGCCACGCTGAGCTTTGGTGGGCTTCAATTTGCCTGGCAAAGATCATTGCTGCTTTTCAAACCCATTTCTTCATTTATGTGATGCCAGGTGGTTTTGGGGGGGTTACACAGCAGGGAAGGGGGGCAACACAGCCCCCACAGCAATCACGGCTCGCCCAGTGCTTGCCAGCCACCACGAGTGAGAGCGCAGGAGTGCACCAGTCCCACGTTGTGCACCAGGCGTCAGGGCTTCAGGTACATCTTGCCCATGATCTTGTAGGGGAAGTTTCTCCAGCTGAAGACGGGGGCTTCGTTGGGGCTGTTGTGCATGGCTGCCATCACCCCCGAGGTGGAGATCCCCCTGTCTCACATGTACACGGATGAGATTTCCCCCATGAAGGACTGCTGGGTGTCAAAGCCGCCCCTGAAGGTGTCCTGCTCCTGCCCCAGCAGGATGGCCGTCTCCGCCCCCATGTGTAGCCCCTCTGCAGCCCCTTGCAGGGCCAGGGCTTCCTGTTGAACCAAAAGCCCATGATGCCGGTGGTAGACTCCCAGCTGGCACAGACATGCTCGCTCGCCACGATGCTCTTGGGGACACCAAAGGACACAAACCTGCCCCCCATATAGAGCCAGTACGCCCAGGGCTTGGGCTTGAAGAGGAGGATCTTGTCCTGCGCCTTGGTGGCGTAGGAGAAGAGGCTGTAGGGCTGGGTCAGGTCAGTGTAGGACCGCAGGCACACAGTGAATTTCTGCAGCGGCTGCTCCGGCTTCATTCTCACAAGCATGTGGGAGTCTTTGGTCTCTTGGGGAAACACAAACACTTCGTACACCAGGTCTGGGAGAGGTGAGAAAGAGGTGGCTGCTCCTGCCATGGCGAAGGCATCTGGCCAAGTTCCCCAAGGAGAAACAGGGTTGCAGTGTGCCAGCGAGGAAGCCACCACCAACCTGGAGGTGGCCTCTGGCATAAGACCCAGAGGTGGCTTCCACCACCAAGACCGGCCGTGCGTGGGCTGTGATATGGGGTGGCACAGGAATGGGGTGGTGAGGACGAGCTGTGGGAAGGAGGGGAAGAGCACTTATCCCCAGCCATCCCCTTGGTCCCTTCCCTATCATTTATCCACAGGTTGAAGGTGGCCACATCGGTGCCCAGGGAGCCGGTGGCCGTGCAGACGTAAGTGCCCAAGTGGGTCTTGCTGAAGGAGGGGAAGAGGAGGACGTTGTTGGGGCCTTTCTGCAGGGGGTCGTTGCTTCCTTCCTTCTTCTACAGGAACTCCTGGGGTCTGAGCCAGGCTGGGTGTCACTCAGGTGGGTGGACACCCTGGGGTGGCCATGCCATGGGGTGGGGCAGCACAGAGGGACCATGGTGCTCCCTCCCCAGGCCCTTCTTCTCCCACTGCCCACGGGGCTGGGGATGCTGGAGCTGCCTGCCCCATGCCGGTGCTGTGCTAGAGGCCGCGGGAGGGTGGGGAGCACCTTACCTGGGGTCCCCTGTGACCTCGCAGCAGAGCATCAGCTGGTGGTACAGGGTGGGTGAGCCTGGATCCGGGTGGTCACTTTTTCTGCAGCACCCAGAGGGAAGGGCCAGGCTGGGCAGGGGGGCTCTTCCTGTCCCCCTGTCCCCACCCGTGGTGCCTGGCTGCACCAGCCTATGAGAGCCCCGTGTCCCCGCCACCGCCCCAGCTGCAGCCCTGCAGCCCTCTTCCTGGTGCTTGGTGTTGTGTCCCTGCCGCCCCCACTGCTACCCCCACTGCGGTGCTCAGGGTGCCCCTTTTGGCTCTTGCTACACTGCCATCGCATCTCTTCCCCCACCCCTGCTGCATCCCCTTGCACCCCCAGCGCACTGTGCTGTGCCCACTGCACCTTTCTGCAGAGCTCCAGGTGCCTCCTCCACTGCACGGCTACTGCATGACCCCCGCACCTCCCCCTGCACCCACTGCACCCCTCTGCAGTGCTCACGGTGCCCCACTGCTCCCCACTGCCACCACCACTGCATGTCCCCCTATACCCATTGCACCCACTGCTCCCCACTGCTCCTGCTGCTCCCCACTGCACTTTCTGTTCTCCCCATGGGACCCAAAGGGGATCCCGGTGCAGCCCCTCTGCCCCTACCTCGCAGGGCAGCGAGGCTGAAAAGCACCGTGAGTGTGAAGAAGCAGAGCCACAGCTGCCTCATGGCACTGCTGAGCCTGGCCGCCGGCACCTCCATGGTGAGGGAGAACTGCAGAGCCACTGCCACAGCGCTAGGGCTGCTTAGGGTCTGTGCCAGGGTGAGCGCAGCTATGCAATGGTGACATTCACCCATGACCTTCGTCCCCAAGTGCCTGGAGGCACTGACCCACAGGGCTGTTTGGCAATCTGGTGAGGGGCCCAGGGCCGGTTTGCCTGCCCGGGAGCCTGCAGACCCAGCGGGCTGGCAGGGAGCCTGGGGACGGTGGGTGTGCATGGGGATGGGCATCAGGGACAGGTCCTGCATCCCCAGGGGCTTGTGCTGAGCCCCTGCCTGCTCATCCCTAATCACTTATGCTGTTTTGTGTGTGGCTGGGCAGCGCTGGAGCTGGTGGATCTGCATCCTGCCCACGTGGAGGCTGGCCATGGGGCAGCTTGGGGGGGGGTGCAGGGAAGGGAAAGGGTGCCCCAGGCATCAGTGATGGGTTGGTGGCGGGTGCTGGCGCTCAGGGGGACTCTGCCAGGCTGAGTGGTGCCCCCAGCCCTCTCCAGCTCCATCCGAGCCCCGTCCTGACTAGAGCTCCCTGGCTGGGGCACGCAGACGGCACCTTCTTGGCAGGTTGTAGAGGCGAAGGGGTGATGGGGACAGGGAGGGGAGAGCGGGGTCTGAGGCCGCTCCAGTCCCAGACCCGGCTGGCTCTCATGGACCCAGCACCTCCCGGAGCCGGGGTTTCACTACCACATCACCTTTCACCTCGTAGCTCAGGTTCTTCCAGGCCAGGATGGCGGGCGGCAGGCGTAGGGATTGGTAGGCAGCTCGCATCTTGTCTGGGGACAGCCCCGCATCCCACAGGTAGACGTCGGCCAGCTCGCCCGAGAAGGAGTTGTAGACGTCGAAGCCACCCCCGAAGGCGTCCTGCTCCTGCCCCAGCAGAATGGCTGCCTCCGCCCCCACCATGTAGCCCCTCTGCAGCCCCTTGCGGGGCCAGGGCTTCCCATTGAGCCAAAACTCAGCAACCCCCGTGGCCGACTCCCAGCTAGCGCAGACATGCTCCCAGTCCCCGTGGCCCTCGGGGACGCGGAAGGTGACAAACTTGCCCCCCACGTAGAGTCGGTACTCGCTGGGCTTGGGCTTGAAGAGGAGGATCTCATTGTCCTGCGCCTTGGTGGCATAGGAGAAGAGGCTGTGGGGCCGGGTCAGGTCAGTGTAGGACCGCAGGCACACGGTGAAGTTCTGCAGCGGCTGCTCGAGCTTGGCCCTCAGCAACACATAGGCATCACTGGGGTCCTTCCGGAAGACGAATACCTTTCGGTACAGGTCTGGGGGATGAGAGAGGGGATGCGGCGGGAGGTTGGGGTGTCCTGCAGCCCCCTCTGACTGCCTCTGAGCCTTCTTCTGTAACCCCCCGGGTGATTCCGCATCCCTGACATCCCTTCTGCTGACCCCAGCCTTGCTCCAGCATCCTCCAGCCCTGCTGACTGGGCTCTGGCATGAAGCAGAGGGCTCAGAGAGCTGCTGCCACGTACCCCCTGGACCTGCCCTGCCCTGTGCCAGCTCCTGTCCCCCAACATTGCCCCTACCTTCCTGGGCCACGATCCCCAAGATCCCGGCCAGGACAGCAAGCCAGAGCTGCAGCTGACCCATGTTCCTGGGTGTTGCGGTCGGTTCAGGGAGAGGAGCCGCCTCAGTGCAGGGCTGCTGCCTGCCAGGTTTATGGGCCGGAGGGTGGGAGTGGAGCCGCGTCCCGCCAATCCCGTCCCCAGCAGCCTGGCATGCCTGGGAGGAGTGATTTCATGCCGTCACGCGGCCGTGCCACAAGACCCTAGGTCACCCGCCTGCACGGGGCTCCCCTTGGAGCTGTGCCCACACTGGGGGCACCCCAGCTGCGTGGCTTCACCTCAGTCCTCTTGTCTCCCCGCCCCGGGCAAACGCCCTGTGGGAGTGACCCGGTTTGATCCCGGCTCATCTGAGAAGCACAGAGGAAGCTGCCCCTGGCCCCCTCGCCCTGACCTGCGGCTCTTGGGCATGTCCCCGGGCTCTGCTTGCCCCATCCTGGCCAAAGGGACAGAGCCCAAAGCCGGAGCCGTGGGCACCAGGTGGCAGAAGAAACCGCAGCAAAGCCGAGTGACCGAGGGTCCGATGTCCTCTGAGGTGCCCGTGGTCTGGGCATCCTCTGAGGGCGTCCGTGTGTCCTGCGACCAGACAGGGCTGGCACACAGTGCGCCGTGCCCCCCTCCCGGGATGCATCCTGGTTGGAAAGAGGGAGGATTTCGTCTGCTCCGGGCTCTGTAATGATGGTGCTGGATTGGCTGCTGGGCAGGGGGTCCGGGCTGGGATGTGGGGCCGTTGCATGGGTATGCTGGGGGGGACAGGTGGCAGGGCAACAGCAGGATGCTCTCGGCCGTGGGTGGCTGCCCCTTTTCGGGGATGATGTGGGCTCGTTCCCTGCCGAGTCAGTACCTCAATTTGCCAGGGATGAGCCCCCAGGTCCCGCAGGGCTTGGCTCAGCCGGGGCAGCTCCTTGTGTGCCACTGTGCCAGGTCCTGGACCCCCCGTGTGGGCAGCTCTCAGCCACAGGCTCGCACCCCTCCATCGCCCCCCCTCCAGCTCTCCAGCCACACCCGTTTCACATCCCATGTGCCTTGTGACCACACATGGCTGTCCCTCGTGGACCATGGCTCAGATGCCTCCAGCGCTGGATATAAATCACCCCAATTCCCACTATTAGACTGCAGACCATTATGAACTTTTCCTGCTAATTTGGAGGCACGAAGAGCACACGCCTCCTGCTTCCCATCCCTCAGCCCACAGAAGCCTGGCTAGAGGTGATGGATGTCACCCCCCTGTGCCCCCCCTGCACCTCCCAGCCCCTGCCATTAACCAAGCTTGGCGAGTGGCTCTGACAGACATATATATTGTATATAATTCCCACTGGCTGATCTCAGGTGTTACGCTTATCTCGGCTTGTCAGGAGGGAGTGAAAAATCCCCCATCACTTCACATCGCTGCTGCCCTTTCTGCCTGCCGAAATCTCCCTGTGGAGCTGGGGCAGCCGGGGCTGAGCCTTGGGGATCCCCAGGGGTGTGCAGAAGCCTGGGGCTGACACCCCCCCAGGGGCTTGGGAAGATGCTTGAGGCACCCCAAGGCCATCTCCATTGAGCAAATTGGGGTGTCTGGCCCCAAACAGTGGGGCTGAGACCCCAAGGAAGGGGATGGAGGGAGGAGAGGCACCAAGCCTGGCACATAATGGGCCCACGTTGCCCTCCCCTGGGTCCTGAGGGAGCGTTGCTGTGGGGCAGAAGCTGCGGGGCTGGTGGGGACATTGTGGGGAGAGGGGATGGTGCTGGGGGCTGGGGGGCCAGGGGCTGGTGTGAGGCCTTCAGCTGCAGCCCCAGGAGCTCAGCAGCTGCTGCTGGCACCTGCCCTACAGCGGCAGAGCCGGGCGGCGAGCAGCGCTGCGGGCCCCAGGCAGCAGTGCAGCACCCCCAGCCCCTCGCTCAGCCCCAGCACGTAGTCAAAGTGCTCGAAGGTGCCGCAGGTGGGCTGCAGCAGCTGGGCGTGCAGGAGGAAATCCACGGCCAGCCCCACGCCATAAGGCACCCAGAGCCCAAAGAAGAGCCAGCTCGCACCAACACCTGCCTCCCAGCCCACCCTCAGCTGCGGCATGGCCAGTGTGGCCACCAGCAGCACCACTGGCAGCAGCAGGAAGAGGCAGAGGCAGAGGGCGAGGTGCAGCAGGGGTGCTGG